AAGAGTTACAAAGTCTACAATGTTCCTTTTTCTTTTGATTCATATTTCCATTTACCTACCCTATAGAATTTCATCATGAAGAAATGCACTTTTATGCTCCAGTCTTTATTATCCTATTAGACTTCTCAACATAAAACATAAAAATTGAAATTCAAACTTTTATGAAATTTCTGTGAAATCAAGTACAAAGTGTTAAAATTATCCTTCTAGAACTGTCTTAGCAATTACTGTAATACATAACTGATCAAAAAAACACAAATGTCTTTTAATAATCATTAAATATAAAATGTGAAATGTATTAAAATCCACCTTATAATAAGTTAAGTCAGAATCTATGAATTAATATGACTTGTCATAATGAGTGAGGGCAGAGTATCAGGAGTTTAGTCCTACTTTTTTTTATGAATAGGAGAAACTTAATTTACACAAAGAAGTGATGAGGCTGGAAGGAGTTGTGCCACAGCAAAATCAGTAAATTCTTTAATTTCCTTCCAGGTTATACGCTAAGTAATCATTTAATCACTTATCATTAAATAATATTTTAATAATACCTTGGAAGACAGTTCAATTAGGTTTGCTTCAAACTTTAAAAACTAGAAAAGGATTTGTTATACCATCATTCTAGTTACTCATTTTCTCAATTCATGTGATGTATACAAAAAAGATACTATAAAGATTCATCATTTGCTTTCAGTCAGAGCCTTCTTGTTTACTATAGGACATTGTAACAACTGGGAAAAATGAAATACTGTTAATTTCAAGATGCCTATGACACTTTAAAATAAGTTTAAATGTGTTTATTCTTCACCTGTTTTAAATGTATTTCTAGAGAAAAAAGAAAAAGTAAAAAACTTAGAGGTGAAGATTTAGTTCACTTAGTTTAAGGAGAAACATCTGCCATGCTAGATAAATGGCAAAGTGAGTTGTTAATGCCAAGCCATTTTTTCAGGGAAATATGACTACTAGAATGTCAACGTTCTCCCTTCGGAATTCTAATCCTAAAATAGAAATAAGCCACAAAGGTTTAGAGGAACTTGTTGTTCGGATGAAACAAGCATCTTCTGCTGTAAGTGTCTCTCTTTGGCTCTTTTTGTTCCGCTCTCCTCTACGGCCATACCACCCTGAACGCGCCCGATCTCATCTGTTCTGCTCTCAACTCAGTAACAATACTCTTTACTAATATTGATAATAAGGTCATCTAATACACATTTTTAACACAGGGTAGTTTTATCCTGAAGCATTACCCTTAACATACATATGTCTAAATGCAAAAGACTCTGAAAGACAGAGATTTTCTGTTCCGGTCCATTTATGTCCTTATCCCCATAGCTAATCCCTCCCCACACACTCTTGCACATGACGCTGGCCCTAAACTATTCCTCCTTGTCCACTTGACAAAATCCAAAATGAGATCCTCCCTCTCCTGAGAATCATTCTTGACCAATCGTTCCCGAAGAGACAAATTCCAGGTGATTCTCTGCATCACCTTTATACAATAGTCACCCTCTTTCCTCAAACTAGAAAATTCTTTTGGAATTTTCCATGCCCAATATTTTCAAACAAAGATGTATTATTTGCTTTAGTTGATTTTCTTCCACATAAGGCAGGTAAAAATTGAAAGTTCTGTCTAATACCTTAATTAATGGAGGCTTCACTAACATCAGTAATTTGAATTGACTTCTTTTTCTGGACACCCTGGTGGATTTTCCTCCTTCTTCCTCAGAGCAATACATCATAAAAATATTCAAGAAGCATGAGAGAACTCAGCATGCTGGCTCATGCCTGTAATTCTAGCATTGTGGGAGGATGAGGCAGGAGGATCTGAGCTTAAGGCCACCCTGGACTTGAGAGTGAGTTTGAGGCCATTCTAGAGCAGGAGATTCTATCTCAAAAAATCAAAAATCAAAACAAACAAACATAAAAACACATGCAAATATGCCATTCTTTGTTTCAGCAGAAGGACAACTGTGAAGACCGTGAAGAGGACGTGCTCAGGACAAGGTGTATTACTTTGCTACCCTGAGAATGGGACCTTGGACAGGAAGAACAATTTTAGAAGGAAAACATGGAAGTTATAAATTGAGAAACTGATTTCTTTAGAATTCAAAGAGCACTTTAGAGACTCTAGTTTGAAAAGAGCTGGTTTAGTATGCGTAGTGTACTGGTGAGGAAAGAAATCACCTTGAGCAGTGTTGATTCACAATTTTAACAGCTACAGAAATCATCAGACAGCAAATACAAATAAAAAACATTCAAAGTGTTCAAAGAAATAAGTGCTTAAAAAATACTAGCAGTAACAAGAAACTCAGAAATGGCTAGGTCAATTTGAAAACAGAAACAGAACACTCAAATAAAAAATAAAAGCAGAAACTCAATAAATGGGTTAAGTGATAGGATATATGGAGGTCAGGACAGGCCTCAGGAAATTACACAGAATCCAGCAGTGAGACAGAGTTGAAAAATATAAGAAAATTAAGAGACAAGGAAGTTAAAGGAAACAAGTGTAAAACATCTAATTTAACTGCACAAGAGAATAGAAATAACCAAGAAGCTGCATTATTTGAACAGATAATGGTAATCTTCCAGAAGTGATAAAAGATATCCATCTACAGAGTCAGGAAATCAAAGTCCCAAACAAGTGCAAAAATAAATCAAGACCTAGAAAATTAGAATGTAAATCATAAAGGAAGAGACTGATAAACTGGCTACAGTTTAAATAAACCTGAAAATTTCTGAATGAGGCCTTCCAAGAATTAAAATCAAACTTTGAACTGGAAAAAGACAACTACAATGCATAAAACAAAGGATTGTTTGTATTATTAAGAAGAGTCAAACAGTACCATAGAAAAGTGGGCAAAAGCAATAAAAAGGAATTTCAAAAGACTCACACATGATTAATTAACATATGAAAAGATACTGAACCTCATTAAGACTCAGAGAATTGCAAATATCACTCCAATGAGACCCTTTTACATCCACCAGACTGGCAAAAATTAGGAGACTAATAACATCAAATGTGGTGAGTACATTAGTGTTCATTTTATGTCTTAAATTCATGCACATTATGCATGTGTTTTTACACATGTTCATATGTTACATATGTTTTACATATGTTTCATAACAAAAATTTTATTAAGTGCCAACTGGACTTTGCAGTAAAAATGTTTGTTCATATCCTGGGAGACCGATTTCTGTGAAATAATGGCATAAACCCCAGATGTAAAGAAAACTGTAGATGACTAATTCAAGCTTACCTATGAGGCAGGGCAAACAGGGCTGGAGAGAGCTTCTATTTCTCCTTTTTCAAACTTTTAAAAGATTTTTTTTAAAGTACAGTAAACTGGGACAGGGTTGGAAAGAAGCAGCAAGAGAGAGAATAATGACACAGGAAACAAAGGGTCCCAGGGCAGTGATAAAAGTACATAACACAAAGGCCATTAATAGGGGTTAGTTTTAGAATGGAACTTGGGGCTCTATTTGTTATGAGAGATTACTCTTTTGTTCTTATCATATCACTTTCTCGCTGGCTTTACCTACTCCACTCACAATTGTGTCCTTGTTCCTCTTTCAAGCAGGTCTCAGGACTTTTATACTTTTATTCTCTCCATAAAAAATACTCTTTCCTTAATGTACATGAAGACTTCTCATTCACTCCTTTCTCTGCTCAAATGTCAACTCAGCAAAATGTTTTCTAACCACTTTATAAATGAAATAATCTCCTCATTCCCTATTACCCTCCCGATGCTCCTTATTCCTTTTCCTGCCTTATTTTTCATTATCTTCTAATACTGTATATAATATACATATGCACATATACTTTATTGTTTAATCCCTGTACTTCCATAATATGTTATCTCTATGAATATAGGAACTATAGCTACAGTAGTATTTAGTACAAGGTAAAAGCTCAGTAAATACGTGCTGAATCAATGGTTGCTGCTTGAGGAAACTGAAGAACAAGTTGTTAGGTAAAGCATAGAGTATACAGAAAAGGTGACAAACGAATTAATCTTGAGTCATGAGGAGACTGGCAAATGTAGAAAAAAGGTAGAAATTCTTGCACACTTGAGAAGTGGGAGCATACGTGGAGTATGGCAGGGATGCCAATGACCGCAAGCTAACCTTACTATGTGTACAAGACAGAACACATTATACTGAGCGTCAGCTTTCTAAAAATCCCCCTCAAAAGACAGTAGTTCAGTCACCTTTTCATTTACAGCAAAGATTGAGTACATAAAGTATAAAAATAAAGTTTACATAGAAACCACTGGCATCGCTCCCGTAAGCTACTATAAAGCACAGTCTGAATAAACGTAACCTGTTTTAGATTGTCCAACAATCACGGTGGAAATATTGCTGTCAAACTTCCCAACACCAGATTCTATTAAAAGACGAAAAATTCTCATTGTTGAGAAAGAGCAGTTCGGATGGAAAAGCAGGAGTGGTTAAGTTCAACTGCTTAGTAGCAGATACTATCTATTTAAGCAGATACTTTCTATTTATTTTGGAATTGTCTTGGGTGCTGTTTTATATTAACTTGCACTTATTATCATGTTTTCCAGCAGCCTTTCTTTTTTCCACATCACTACTACCTCTGAAGCATTCATTTTCATTTTAATCCCATGTCACAGTACAGTCACAGTACATGTACAGTACTCGACTATGCAGGTTATTTCTGGACACAGAAGGCTCTTATGCATACGTACAGAAGAAATCCTTGGGGGAGTGTGTTTCCCAGTTTATAAGCCCGTGCAGTGAGCTCCGGGCATTTAACTACAAGACTGGAGAGACGGTGCATAATATGGTCCTCGGGGTTTTTGCCTTCTTGGGGACTGGAAATCTGGCTCCCTGAGGGCTGGGACCCAGGCGTTCCAGGGGACCAGAGGTCAAAGCTCAGAGCTGAAGCCAGGGGGCGGGGCAAGCCCCAGGAGCCCAGGGTGGTGTGAGGATCCGGGAGTACAAACGGTTAAGGAAGGGCACGGCGACTCGTAAAGACTCACAGTAATAGGCCACCACAGGGTCCCGCTTGTCATGCTCCTGAGCCGTCCTCAGATGATGCTGTATGCTCTTAAACTGTGGGGGCAACGGGGGCAGCTGAGCCAGCGCGGCCATCTCCACTCTACAATCACCACTTCCTACTCGCTTGCCACAGACAGACACTTCCGCTTCCGTCTGGGAGGTCGGGCGCCGGAGCGCTCAGGGCAAATTCCACCCCTTCTGTCGTTGCTCAGCGACGTCAAGTCAACTACGGGTGCCCAGTAAGCACAATCTTTATGTGTGTTTGGTTTATGGTAGTTACAACCTAGAAAGTGCTGAACGCCTTGGCGGTTGTGTTGCATGTGGCACCATCGCTCTCTGCTGGTAGGAGGAAGAAGAGTGAGTGGGTTTTGTTTTGTTTTATTTTCCTTTTTTTTTTTTTTTAATTTTGCTTATGGCAAAAGGAAAGAGGGAAAGGGAAGAAGGTAATGTTTACTGACTAGCTTTTCGCATCATTCAGGATTTTTCACTTCGTATCCCTTTTGATTTTAGAAACTTTAATTTCAATTCTTACACGAGAAGAGAAATACTGTGTTTAAATTTTAAATTAAAAGTGTCTAGGGTGCCACATTAGATAAAATAACCAGCATTTTTCTAATTTAAACACTAAATATATGAAGCTTGCAAAATTGAATTTTTGTTCCGATGTGGCCAATGTTTATTTTAGTAAATGAACAATGTATAGATTGCTTATTATTGGACAATGATTAACAATTTGCAACTTATTTTCACTTTCATTATTTAACGCGATGGGGTATTGGACACTTTATTCAGAGGTGCTGATTCATACAATTTTATAGTAAGGATCAGGTTTGCCTTCTAGGATTAAGGATTTCAACTCTTTCTCTTCTCTCCATCAAAAAATATCCTTTTGGACTTTACATTTTATCCACTGCCTCTGATAATCTTTATCTTTATTTTGACTCAATCCCAGTTTTGAGGATTTATCTTAGAACTAGTTTTCATTGAAATACATTATATCCAAGAACCCAGATCTTAAGCACTCAGGTTTCTCATAGCATTACTATTTTCTAATTACACCCATTCCCCACACCCAAAAAATCTCACTTTATGTCTTTATCATATCCCACTGTACATCCTTTGACTGTACTTGTTTACAGAATTCATCATCATATCCTTGGCCTAGCTTTTTACCCAGCATAAAATTAAGTTCTGTATTCTTCCCAAATCTCAGCAACACATTAGCTACCACTTGAGAATGGATGCTTGCTTTATCTCTCACTCCTGCAATCCTGACTTTTCACTCATAAGTTGCTGCAGTAGGAGAGAAATAAAAGAAAATCAGACTGGGATACTATATATTTCTTCTTTCCATCCACATAACTTGCCATTTATTATTTTTCTATTACTTTGTGGTTCTCAACTGTGGCTGTCCATAAAGATTTCCTCAGAAGCTTTTAAAAAGGATCATGTTCTGGGCCCATCCCTAGCAATTTTGATTTAATTGTTTAGGTTGGATCCTAAATACCAATATTTTTAAAAAAGTTCTCATAAGGGCCGGGGATTTAGCTCAGTGGGTCTGGCGCCTGCTGCGCAAGCGCAATGACCCGAGTTGGATCCCCGGTACCAAAAAAAAAAAAAGTTCTCATAAAATCTTAGTGGTACATCCAGGGTTGAAGACCAGCTTTACCCCACTCTCGTCGGGTGAAGCTCTTTCCTCAACAAGGACATGGGTTGCTATTGAGATTGAGGCCACCAGATATGAATTCTTTCACCCTGCCTCTGTCACAGCTCAAAGTAATAATATCTACCTAGCACTAGCTGACCATCTATCTCTGTATCACACACATGCTAGGGTCTTTACACTGATTCATTAAATGTCCACTATAACCTATAAAAATATTATCATCATTATTTTACAGATGAGAAAAACAGAGCTGAGAATTTAGGAGACTTGCACAAAATGATCATAAGTAAGGGTAGTGACATCAAAATCTAGGTGTTTTGGTTTCAGAGCCTGAGTACCTAATCATTGCTACTTGACTGTGATGTGTCTGTAAACCAATGTAACCTTGTATTTTATCTTTTTTTTCTACTCCATCATTCTGAATCTGGAAAACAAATGTCCCTCTTTCTGGTGAAGGCTGCACCTTCCTGTTATTTTCATTTCTAGCTTCAGGATTAGAGTTGCCAATCTCTTTCTCATGTGCATGCATTTCCAGTTAGGGACAGATGGAGGGAAGGAGTAAACAAGCAGATGAAATGGTTAGAAAAGGATTTTACTCCATCTACCAATACCTGCTTCTTTCTTTCTGAATGCTCTACTCTCTTCAGGAGAAGATAATTGATATGATGGAGAGAAGTGCAGACACTGTTAGCATAACGGTACATTGAAATTATGCTGTAAAACAAACTAAATATTAACAGTGAAGTTGGTTTGTCTTGTTTTACTATGAAGGAATTATTATGTTTCGTTATGAAGAAAGACCTAAACTATTCTATCCAGCTCAGACCATTTTCTGAAGGATCTGATATCACTCTTCAGAATGAATCTAGAACTACGACAATGAAGGCTATGCAAAGATTCATAGCAAGACAGAGCGGGGGAAACTACAGGGAGAAGAAAGGGAGTGAAACTAGAACTAACAGGTGTTTTCATAGGAAAAGTTAAAAGTTTTTGCACCATCTCCTGGACTCTGTGTGAATGTGTGCTCACATGAAAGTAACTTTCTGTTCCAATTTGGTCAGAACTAATTTGTTAGTAAGTGACAGGAAATCAGTTGGTGTAATCAGGGTAATAAATAATCAAGAGCTGTATTTTTTGATATCCTGCACATGGTAAAAATTTGTCTTCTAATTTCTAATTGTGTTTTCACATCCTATTAGTACAATGTCCCCTCAAATAGAGACAGTTCTTCCTGAAATATTCCATTGGAAGAATAAAAAAAGACCCTGAAGATTTGGACAGGCCTACTTCCTTATCAATGGCTGTAGCAAGTTGAAATTATAAAAGTTGCAGTTTTTATTTTTAACACAGGCATTTATTGGTTCCATCACCTTTGAACTATACGAGAACATTAAAAATAATAAACTTTATATGCAGAATTGTGTCTGGTTTCTTGCTTATTCCTGTTCAGTATCCCTACCCTCATGCCAGCGCCATGCTGTTTGGGTTATTTTATCTTTAAAGAAGTCTTGAGAGTATGTATAGTATGTAATATAAGTCCCAGCTCATTTTGCTTTTCTAAAATTTATGTTAGCTACTCTAGCTCTTTTGTGTTTCCATTTAAATTTTAGGAATAGCTTCCCGATTTCCCCAACAATTTGCTGGGATTATATTAAAATTAAATTTACAAATTGCTTTGTAGTGATTGATGGTAAAAATGACTAAGGCTTCAAATTATGAGTATTGTTGGTTTATGGGGATAGATGTCCCCCCCACAGCCTCATGTGCTCATCAGTGGAGCTTTTGGGAGGTAATTAAATCATGGGTGTGTGACATTCATCACTGGATTAGTCACTGATGGATTTACAGGTGAGGGCCACGTTGGGAGGTATAGCCTGGTGGAAATAGGTGAGTCCTTGGGGATGTGGCCTGGAAGGTTATGTTTCCTTCCGCCTGTCTGGTTCTATGCTATCTGCCTTGCCACGAGTGAGCCTCCTCTGCTCGGCCCCTCTGCCACACTGTCCTGCCTTGGAACCAGCCAACTATGGACTGAAACCCTTACAAATCGCGAACCAAAATAAACCTTTCCTTCTTTAAGTTGTGTGTGTTGGGGATTGTGTTCTAGCAACAAGAAAGTAATTAAGACAGTCATGATATGGTTTACTAATCCATGTTTAATTTCAGCACTAATTCCCAGCTTTTATTATACATATCTAGCACATATTTTGTAAAATTTATCTATATATATTTCATGTTTTTTTGACTCTGTTGTAAATGATAGTTATTTAAGTATAAATTCAATTTTTAGTATTCTACATAAATGTTAACTTTGATAAATTTCGCTATTCTAATAATTTTTTTTAAATCCTTTAGATTATGAGTAAAAATGTTATTTTCTCTTGCCAATCTGTATATCATTTTGTCCTTAGCACATTTATTGAATATTTACTCAAGATATATACTTGGTTTTTGATTTTATCTTGTAGACTTTCAGATGTAACAGAACCAGTAAAAGTAGACAACTTACCTTTTTCCAAATTATAGGGAAAATTGTTCATCCTTTCAATATTGAATGAGTATTTCCTATAGATTTGCTTAGCTGCTTTTTATGAAGTTTATATAATTCCGTTTTAGAGTAAAATGTTTAGATTTTATTTCCCTCTTCATAAAGTGAGTGTTAAAATTAATCAAAAGTTTTTATATCCGCATCTATTTAGATAGCTACCTGCTTCTCCTTCATTATTCCTTGAGTACAGTTCAGTTACATTAATCGATTTTCAAGTGTTAAAAAAAAAATCTTTCACTCTTGGGATAAACCTCACTTGAACATATGTTTTTTGCTAAGAATTCTTCATATCAAGGTGGTGCTGGCCTCATTAAGTGAAATGGCAAATATTCCCTCCTAATTTCTAAAATAGATATTAGAGAATTATTTCTTCCTTAAACATTTGATGAAATTCATCAGGGAAATCATCTAGGTCTGGAGTTTTCCTCATGGAAAGGGCTTGAATTTCAAATATAATTACTTTAATGGATGTAGGGATCCTTATATTTTCTGTTTATATTAGCTTTGCATTGAATCAATTTTTAGTAATATGTGTTTCAAAGGATTTTTCCATTTCACCTAAGTATAAACTTACTGGCACAATATGTTCAGGTATTCTTAGAATTATTTTAATGTCCTAGCATGATGTCCCCTTTTTCATTTATTATATGGGTAATGTTTAATTTTTTCCTTTACTATCTCAGTGAGACGAAAACACATTAGTTTTACTAATCTTTGAATAAATCAAACTTTTAAAAAATGCATTTGATTCAGTTTTCTACTGTATTCCCATTAATTGTTTTTTACTGGGTATTGAACTCAGGGCCTTAGCACTAAACTATATCCTTATCCCTTTTTAAATTTTTTATTTTAAGACAAGGTCTTGCTAAGTTGCTAAATTGCTCATGTTGGGCTTGAATTTGCTGTCTCCTGCTTCAGCCTCCCAGAGTGCTGAGATTTCAGGAGTATGCCACCATGCCCAGGGCTCTATTCAATTTGTTTTTAGAACTGATGTGTTTTTGTTTTTTTGGTACTGGGGATCGAACTTGGGTCCTTGCACTTGCGCAACAGGTGGCAAAACCACTGAGCTAAATCCCCGGCCCTCAATTTGTTTTAAAATTATTATTTTGCTAATTTCTTAAGATAAGAAGGCTAAAGAATTTTATG